CAAATAGTTATTCACTTATTTGAATTAACTCTACTAATAAATTCTGGGAGGAACAAGTGACAATAGCGGTAGACATTAAATATTGCAGCCACATACTGTAATCTTACATATTGTAATCATAAAAGCTTTAAGGTTAGAACACACCCAGAAATCCCTCTACAAAGACTGATAACCATCAACTATTTCTCAGTCCATTTGGCAAACCATCTATTTTCCTTTGTCTGTGGAGAAAAATCAGTAACAGAAAATGGTCGATTATTGAACTGAGTTACAGACTTTTCTAAAAAAAAAAAAAAAAAAAAAATGATTCTGAAAAAAAAAAAAAATCAAAGTCCATTAGTTCTTCAGCAACCACTCATAATTTAACCTGAAGACTCATCCAGAGTACTCACCAGACCATTTTTAATAAAGAAACCATTATAGGGAAGAACACAGAAAAAGCCAGGTGCTGAGACAAACAATGGCTCAGGAATATCCTCTGCTCTGTGGAGGCTGTGGTCATGTAAAGGGAGGCACGTCCACATGCCTGGTATGTGCTTTGTCACTGCCTCACTGGAGGCCGTGGCACGTTTAGTGCAGATGTGATGCATAGCTTTCTGCAAGTCTAAGGCATTCTTCTCTACATTCTCTTGCTTAAAGATCATTTCCCAAAACACACAAAGCTCTCTACCCAGACTACCAAGACCCCCAAAACATGGCATATTGGAGGTCCCCACACATAAGACTTCACCTATCGCTGCCCTTTATTTTGCATTTGTAAGTTCTAGCTCAAGACACTCAAGTATGAGTAAAGATATTCACAACTTCCTTTTATACATAAAATATGCTCAGGTATTAACAAATACCAGATAAGGTCCAGTTTTTGAAATACAAGCCCCACCACTAAATTTCCCAAGCTCTTGGAGAGAAACATCAAAGTACCATGAACTGGCGGAAGCAAGCTCTCCCCAAGTGTCATCTCCTAACCGTATGGCTAGCAGGCAGATTGCACTAACAGATACACTGTTGGTGGTCACCACCATCGGAAAGACCTCAATTCTAAAGTTCCAGAAGCCAGTTCTTCAAAAATACTTTGACCACTCCCCCCACCACAAACTTTTAAGGTAGGTAGGTGGGTACAGGATGGATTAGGGCTGACTTCTGCACAGTTCCCACCCTGCTCTCCGCCTATATCCATACACAGTTGCTGTTCTTGCTTCCATGTTTTCTGATTCCTTAATTTTAGACTTTGGTTCAAATATACTCATTTTGGCAAATTTAAATTCATTAAACAGTCACTCCTCCAAAGAAAATTTCATTCCTATTACCATTTGTTCTATTTTGTCACAAGAGATGTGTTTAAAGGAGGCAACTTCTTATTTTATGTTCTGGAGAACATAAAAGTAGGAATTCAGTGAGAATAAGTTGTTCTTACTAAAGAGAGAGGGGTATCACAGCATTAGTAAATGTGAAGAGGTGCTATTAAAGTTCTACAGGCCAAAGGATTGCATATAATTTTCTTTTTTAAGAACATAGAAGATACCTTTGAATAATATATAAGTATAATGAAATAATTCTGAAGTAACCTCAAGGCATGCTAACCTCAACTCAAATGAGTCACGACTAAAGAGAAAAGGAAAGCTCTGCAGTCACCCTTTGCTACTATAAATTTTTCATATTTTCATCGTATGTTATATATAGTTAGCATATAGTTAATAAAATTTTAAGTATTGATCCAAAAAGGTTGTGTCCCTTTTTTACAATTTCAATTTAGGTTGACCCAAAGAATCTAACAAGTCTGTCCAGATGAACATTTGTGATATTGTCTGGTGAGAATTAATACACTCAAAGTCCTATTACTGTTTAATCTATTGTCTTTGTCATTGAACTATGTTCAAAGAGGAAACTGCACTGAATGTGAACAGCAGTGCTCCCGTGTTTTAAAGAAGGTATAATCTGTGGGCCTTCCCAGTGGTACAGTGGTTGAGCGCTGGGCTGTGAAGCTGCCCACAGCCTCTGCAGCGCTGGTTCAATCCCCCAGCCACCAGCAAGGGTCCCACATGGCGCACAGACCTCTCCTGCCACCCCTTGCTCCCCTCAACAGTGTATTTCGTCAGTCTGCCTGTTTCTGCTCCCCACGCTGGTGAATTCTATCACCCTCCCAGGCTTCTGACTGTAGCCAGTGCTTGTATAAATAAATAAATAAATAAATCTGAAAAAAAGAAAAAAGAAAGCATAATCTCTTAGAACAATGAGGAAAACAGAAGAGACTGTGCAGTAGTGGATTTCAGGGGTCAGATTACAGTTTGATAGGCCAGGCAGCCAGGAAGGAAATGTTCTCCAGGCATCCATTTCTTACCTGGTCTCTGAATCTGCTACAGTCTCTCTAGTGTCTGGATGGCCAACGTAAGGCAATATGATCACTAGATTTCTTGCCACCACTCCATATAACACCCAGAAAAGCCTGGGAAAAAGTGCCAATATGCATTTTTTAATTCTTTTTGCATATATCAATTGTTGAAACTTCCTTTAAAACATCAAAAAGTATGTCTTTACTGCTGTATATTGTTCCAGCAAACTATTAGTCTGAATGAATGTGACCAGCATTATTCTTTTTTATTATCAAGAAAAGCAGAAAACTTCTTTTTAAAAAAAAACGTCTTTCATTAAAAGCAGAAGCCTGGGATACAATAAGCAAAGTGAAGTAAAAAAATTTAAATAATCTCTCACTTACCTACAAGTATGTATTTCTAAATTTATAAAAAGAGAAACTCCAATGCAAAAATAAAATGCTTGGGGAAATTATTCAAATGCTGTCATGCATAAAACACATAATTTAGCCAGAGATCATTATCAATTAACATCAATCTTTGTTTCTTGCTGGATATTTAGAAAGAAGGTAGCAATTAAAAAAAAAAATTAAAGGGAAGTAAAAAAGAATACTTTCTCAAGTATATTCTAGAACATGCTACTCAAAAATTTCTAAGATGATGATTTTTAATAAGATACACGGAACTACCTATAAAATATTGTTTGTTTTGTGGGTTTATTTGTTTTTTTTTTTTTTTTTGGATTTCTGTTTCCTTTTGGAAGAAGGAGATCATTCAGCTGTCCTTCAAGTAGAAAGACAGCACTAGGAAAGAAGGCCAGGAAGTCACACCCCCAGCAGTATGGGAAACAGTCCAACCAGGGCCTCCTTCCCCCACTGTCTGCTGGATCTGAACAAGTCCCACGCCAAGGAGAATACTCTCCCATCTGACCTAACAGATACACTACACCAGCATCATCTAAAAACAACTCAGTTCAAAAGACAAGGTACAGCTGTTAGTACAGCAAACTGAAAAAGCTTGGCCTCACAGTACTCCCTAGGATGGAAGGCCTCTGCTAAAACTGTGCCATTCACGCTTACCAAGCGGCGTCAATCTGTAGTTAGTGTGCACTAAAGGTGCACATTTCTATAGTATGGGATGGGGGAAAAGTGACTCTTGGAAAAAAACTTCCAAGATGGAGGTGTAAAACAGAGGACGTTCAATAACATGCAGTGATTTTCCTTCCTTCCTTCCCAAGGTGCCTGAGCTCTAGTACAGCCACCCTGGCAGAGCACTCCTGCCGGCTGCATGCTTCACCACTAAGCAATTCTCAATGCACCCAGAGATGCTATGGTCTCAAAGACAGCTTTTCAATTGTGTTGCTAATAAAAAACATGAGGCTCTTCAAATGGCTAAAAACTACAGAGATCTAAAAATCTTTCCTTCATTCCACATATATTAAAGAATGACATTGGGAATGGTCAAATAAATACTAATGGGAAAGTGTCCTAATGTACTTCAAAAACACTTTCAGAGATAATCGCTCCCCAATTTCTCTTACTGAAATTCACAAAAGGTTGTAAATAGCAAGCCACTTTGAAAGCAATGCTCCAATTACTCAGAGGACTTCAGAAAAGAAGCCCTTAGCTCTGCACAAAGGTTTATGGAGGTGAGATGCTCAGATAACCTTGACTCTCTCTTATAGGATGCAGCTGCTCCAGGATAGTTGAATCCTTAGAAAATTTTCTTCTGCTTCTGTCAAAGCAGCAGATAAGAAAAACCCCCGCCAATGTCTTTGTTTCAGCATATCTGAGATGAAAGTTTAGTACAAAGTAACCAAACCAAAGAAACCTACATAACCTTCAATTCTTATCTGAATTTAAGAGCTTAACATAATGGAGTGTTTTCAGTCTGTGGAAATGTCTCTATCTGCATTAAGCTGTTATTTTTATCAGTAAGAGAATATCGGTTTGTAGCATATTAAAATATTGGAGTAATGTCCACTATTAACATTCGGGTGGGCCTAGGATAGGACTGGGTTTCTACCCAGGAGAAGGCAAACATAATCACTCTAAAATTTAAGATAGACATCAGCAAGTGTCCATAAACCATTCAAGCCTCTCAAAATTTTTAGGATGAGCTTGGCAGTTCAAATCATACACTAGCAAACCATGGCTAACAAGATTTTTATTTAGAACATGGAGGTATTTACTCCATTCCAAGTGGACACATCCATGAGATGGCCTATGGGATTATATACTAATTATAGGCTGATTTCTTTCAAATTTTAAGAAACACAGATTTTTTTTAAATACATTTACTATGGAATGAAAACATCAGTATGTAACAAAAACCTCTTATAGAAGATTTTTTTAAAACCCATTTACTATGGAATGGATACAGCGTATGTAATAAAAACCTCTTATTAACTGAAGTAGTCAGAAAGAAAAATACCTAAACTATACAAAGCTGACAATATTGAATTCAGAAATCAATGACAGAAACTGCACAGGAAGTTTCCCCTTTTCTCCATTTCCATTTGTGCCGCTCAACACTAAAACAAGAAAGGAAGAAAACCCAGTGGGGAAAAGATACGGGATCCACATTTGATAAATCAAAAATCTACTATAAAAAACAGGTTTCCTAGGAACCAGTGTGTGAATGACATATCCCTGCCCCCACCATGACTCTGTGACAATTTTACCAACTCACCGTACTCCACTTCAAAGTTATAGTAAATCTTGCTTTTGGGTCCAACTTGAGGTATTCGTTCAAAACCTAGAATAAAATAAACATGAACATTAGTATACAAGGTTATGTGTGGATTCTGGAAAACATACAACTATACATCAAAGTTTATGGGGGGTTGGGGAGAGAGCAGGAAGGGGAAGAATCACTGTTACAAATCATAACTGAAATGGTACATACTTTACTCTAAAACCCTCTTTAATTTGTAATCTCTTCACCTGCAATTCAACACACATTTAAATTTAAGGCCACCAATAAGCCAAACACTGCCACTTAAACAACAAATTCTTAAGCCTAGGTCTCTAGGCAGAGTGCTAACCGCAGCCTCACCTCATGCACAGTAACCTGCTCAGAAAGTCCTGGGGGAAACCCAGGAGCCAGGACCTTCTGAAGCAAGCTCCACAGGCAATTTAGCTGTAGTCAGCACCCATTACTCCCTAAGGGAACTCCTATTCCAAACCAATTATGTCCCCCAGGGGATGTCAGGCAATATCTTGAGACATTTTTTAATGTGACCACAGTGGAGAGGGGCATGAATAGGTAGATGCCAGGAATGCTGCTAACCTAACCATCCTACAATGCACAGGCTGGTAGGAGGAATGCACAGGTCAGCCCCCACACAACAAAGAATATCTGGCCCAAAATGACAACAGTTGTGAGGTTGAGAAACCCTGTTCCCAGGCAACCAAACAAATAATTTCTGATTATTCACAAAATCTGAAATTCTCATACTGGTTGCTGCAAATAGGTTTTAAGATCCCACCATAGTCACAAAACATTTCCTACACATGTTAAGCTTATTATTAGTTAAAAGAACACATATGCATGTCCCAAATTCCTAATTTACAGTATATGTACTTATTTCTTTAATATTGTAATAAATCAAACTATACTGGTCCACAAGAGCGTCTAAGAAATGAATTGCTTATTGTTTACTGAGGTAAAGTACTCTTTCAAATTATGTTAGTTCTCAAATTCTTTCCTGAAGATATAAAATGGAAATAAGAAGAGAAAAACTTAAGTAACCTAGTGTCACTCACAGATAGTCCCAATTCCCAGTGAGGACAAGAGGGAACGTTCCTCCTACTGTAACAGGGTGGCACCCAGGAAAGGGGAAGCTTCCAGGTTTCCTGCCCTACCCAAGGGAGGGTGGGACTGGGCAGGGAGAGAAGAAGCTGCAGAGGAGACTGAGGAAGGAAGGAAGTGGATGGAGAGCCAGAAGGAGACCTGGAGGAGGCACATGAGCAGAGTGACATGTGAAGAAACTGAGCGTGCCTTTTGGTCATGGACTGGTTGAAACAGATGTGGGTGAGAGACCCGTGGGGAGGTGACAATGGCGGTTTTTGTCTTGATTTTGATTTTGCTCTTTTCCTTCCAGACTTGTCTGGTTGTTTCTGACCCTTTTCTGTGGGTCCCCAATGGAAGATGCTTTAGACTTGTGGCAGGCTTCAGGGACTTGCTCTGGGACAATCCCATTTGGGTGGACTTTTACCCACGAGGGGACGGATAACTTTGGGTGCCTGACTTAGAAACTATACTCTTTGCCTTTCCTGTCTTATTTCCTAATTGCATTAAAGTTCCTTTTCGTTAAAGTCTCACATGTTTTGTGTTGATGCGGTGGATGGCAGAACCTACTTAGAGCAGGCAGCTTTGCAGCGTATGGGGTGCCCCTCTCCCTGCCCTACTGTAACACTACCAGCCTGTTAGTCCACAGATTAGGCCCCTATCTTTTAGTCAGCCAAATACAAAGGTATTTCAAAACTTATTTTAACAGCATAACACGAGACTTGCTGAGGGCCTATTACGTGCCAGCACAGTGTTCTTATGCAGTACAACAGAACAGAGCGTGGGTAGATGTTCCCACCCTACAATAATCAAGTGGTAGAAACCTCAGAAGAAACTAGGGTAAGAAACCCAAAAAAGACATTCTGAGAGTCAGATATCCCAGATAATAAAACTTGCAGTTTTCACACGATTGACCTACAAACTACACCCACAGAATGGGTAAAGCAAGCAGCAACACTCAAAGCCTATACTTTGCTTTGTTCATCTTAATAATGAAGTAGTTCATTACACAAATAAAACATACCTGACAGCTGATGTGCACAAGTAACCCACTTAGATACATGAAGAAACATGCAAGTTTAAAACTCAATCAAAAGGATATGATTTATGAACATTTAGAAAAATTCCATCAGAATTACTCTATTCCAACTGGACATTTCCATGAGATGGCACAGGAGTTTATATTCTAATTATAAACTGATTTCTTCTTCTGAATCCCAGAGCTATGAAGTAGCACCCAAACCAAACCCAAGCACCATGACCCAGGCCGTGGGCACCAGGTGGGAGGTGGGACAGAGGGACAGAGACTGGCATTCATATCCCAAAACACGGAGATTTGGGCAGTGCAGGTAAAAAGGTTGGCAGAGGCAGGTCTTCAATCTGGAGGTGCCTACCCAACATCTTGGGCACACTTCACTAGCCAAGTCATTAGGAAGCTTTCCTGAGTGATGTGCTTATCCAAAGAAGGGACGAAATGGATGGAGCTAAACTACCGATGAGATTCAAGATGCCTGCGAAATCAACACAGAGCCTTTCCACTGTGGAAAGAAGGCAGTTGGGAAGGCAGCCTAAGCCACGAACCAGAAAAACAATGACCTCTCATCAAAGACAAATTCCTAACTAATGGCTAAGAGAACAAAGCAATGCTAGGAATAAAGGCAGATCCCCAAATTATCAAGGTACAGAAATGTTCATGTACCATGTGGGATTTAACCCCTGCCTCCATTTATCTACATTTAAATTGGTCTTTAAATAAAAACTCATAACAAATTTCCCAAACATAAACACTTCATTTTTTTTCCTCCTTCTGCAGTAAAATATATTCTGTTCCAAAAAAGAAAAGTTGCTCAATTTCCTGTCAAAGGCAATCCGGAGAAGGCCACCTACACTATATAAGCAGCAAGAAAGAAACAAAATGCTAAAGAAAATCCTGCATGTGTGGGAGTGTACTAAGTACATGGTAACTACCACTCTGGGTTTTTTAAAGCTTCTTTCCTTGATCATTCTGAGAAATATGAAAATCAGTGCAACTGCTAAAGAGAAGTTTGTCTTCCAACCTACCTAAGGAAAACAAGCCCTATGCTGGATTTTAGTTCTACCAAAGAAATAAAGGGGTGGGGATGGGGGGTGGCAATCCAATGCCTTTTAACACATGATTTTCTACATTCTATTTCTACCCAACAAAGGACTGCCATGCAATGTGCTCAAAGAAAGAAGGCTACTCTGAAAATTAATCATCCCCTGTAACTGTCCTACCTCCACCCTTCATCCCCCCAAATTTTAGACTAGGACCAGCTTGGTCTCAATATGCTTAATCCTAAACCTTTGGGAGCTAACTATTCACACTAAAGCCAGCTGACTAGATGAGGTCTTTCTCTCAAATTTCCTACATGGCTTGTACTTTCTGAAACTATAAATTCTGAGGTAGTAATCAACCAGAAGCAACACTTCTTACTAAAAGTCTGTATGAAACATGAGGTAGCTGAAGGTAGTGAAAAGAGAGAAAGAGAAAAGACAGCTCATCAGTGAACTGAGGAGAAAAGAGTAAGTCAAAATAAAATACTGGTCATCACTGACTTGGAACACAGTGCAGCGCCATATTTCTGTAAAACACACGTTCCACTGAAGGACGCACTACGTGAGCAGGGCAGTATACACTGGTGAAGGCAAATAAATAATGAACAGGGGAAAACGGCACTAATGAGTCAATAAAAACCAAACTACTAAACCAAGATTCAACTGCAAGCCACGCTGACGGGCAGCTGCAAGACAAGAGAGCAGATACAAGCAAACGCTTTTGGCTATACAAATGATTCATTTGATAAGCTATAGATTTTGAGCAGCAGGAGAGTTTTCTATTTTGTTTTTGCTTAATAATAAACTTAGATATTAAAAAAAAAAAAGGTTGCAAGACTAGTACAAGTAACTTTAATTCTCTGAACCACCTGAGAGTAAGAAGCCAGCGTGCTGACCTCTCTATCACCCCTGCAAAGTGTAGTGATCAATTTCTAGCAGGAAGGGTATTCTACAATACCACATTATTTATGACTATCAATATCCAATTTAACACTGAAATAGTAACATCATCTAATCTACACACCAGATTTAACTTTCTCTAATTAGCACCAATAATGTCCCTTTGAATAAAAGCACCCAACCCAGGAGCTCACGCTATACCGAGCTTTGCTATCTCATTAGTCTACTGCATTCAAGAACTCCTCAGACTTCCCTTGACAATTGACCTTGACAATTTTGAAGATTCCATGTCAAGATGTTCCTTAATTTGCGTTTATCTGATGTTTCCTTATGCTTAGAGTCAAGATACGAATTTCCAGCAGGAATGTCACTAAAGAATTCCTCTTATTATATACCTATGAGGGAACACACTATTTCAATTTTTTCCCATGGCTGGTAAGCTTGTATCACTTGATTAAGGTGGGAGCTGCCATATTCTTCACTGTAAAGTTTCTCTTTTTCCTTTTGTAATTATCAAGTATTTTATGGGGTAATAGGGTGATATTTTAAGACTATATAAAAATTCTATTTCTCAACAAACCCAACAAATTTAGCATCCACTGATAATTCTTGGCAAACTGAACTATACTTTGATAGTTGCCAAAAACTGATTTTCTACTCTGGGTGTATGTCTTACAATAGGGGCACCACTTTACCTGGGTCATCTGAGTGAACAGAATTACAGGCATGTGTGCACACACCAAGTTCTTTTTTTCAGTATCTGTCTACATATACTGAAAACAAAGGGCTCACAAAGATACTTTGACTTCCAAACCAGCACCACAGGGTTCATTCTAATTTTCACCTTTTCCTTTATAACACTAAATCTGGCTCCCATTAACCTCAATTTACTTACTTCTAGGAGTCATTCCCCCAACTTCCATAATGCTATCCCCTACTTCAGATCTACTGTAGTATCAGAAAATGTCTGCTCTAACAAAAACACCAAG